CATTTCCGGGACCAAATGCAAACAATCAGATCCCAAAGGCAAATAACAAATGGTGCTAATACACACCCACGGTGTGCTGTATTGCTACTGAAAAACCATAAATCCTAATCTTTCATTTTTTCTGAATTTGTACAATATTGGTGTCCAGGAAAGCATGAGCCCAGAGACTGTATCATAAACCGTGAGTTAAGCTTATGTGCTATAAATATATAGTGCTCATAAATGGCAGTTGAGATAGTATTTGAAGCAGTACCCGGAAACAATATTCGATTCATCATGACATAAACCAATAACACAGTTTTGCTGTGAATCCATGTGTCCTTGTGGTTTCTTCATGTGTAAACCCTGTTTGCATTGTTTTTTTTCCTTTTCTGCATTCAAAACATTGAGACTGGTGAGTTTAGGCGGGGACTATTAGGGACTGTCCCCTGCACGGAAGAGGAAAGTCCATCAAAAAAGGGCTGTTATTACACAAAGCTCAGCTATCAGTACTTAATGAAAATACATTTCGTCCCCTTGGAATTATAAGGTTCTATCTGCATTCCGAGTAGTTTTGAGATATTGAGCTTCAAAGTTTTTGCATTCCATTCGACTGTGTAGACAGAAGCTTTTTTTTTTCCAAATAAAAAGTCCCAAAATGTACACAACATTAAAAAATCTATTACATAATGTCAATACATTGTCACAGAATAAGAATATGTGAATAACTCAATTTTGACAAAAATGTCAGATAGAACCTTATAATTCCAAGGGGACGATTTGCTTGTTTTTCAAGTTAGAGTCGGTATTGTATCTTGTTGGAAAGGTGTTTTGACTACTAGCTTGCCACAAGGTTTACAACTGGTGAGCTGGAAAAACTACCATCGTTGTGGATTTGCACGCTACTGTTTCATCTGTTTTCTTGGCAAACTCAACAATTTGTGTTTGTGATTTAACTGTCATCGTAAAAGTTACATTGAAATATTTCCTATGACGTAAATGCCAAATTATTGTTTTTACTATAATTACTACGTGATTAGTTTGAAGGCGTTTCTTTTAGAGTTTGTAAAGCTTTTGCATGAACAATTATTAAAGATATTGCATAACACACACCCTATGATTATTGGTCTGGAATGTTTTTTTTCTCATTAAAAACAATTAATTGGCCTAAAATTATTGTTCTTCCAGAAGACGTTTTGCCTGTTACCTAATGTTTTTACTCTTGTGTTCTTCAAAATGTAAGCATTGTTTGATCAATTTACATATTATTTTTTCCCCCGTCTTTTTTTAGTCTTATCTGATATACTTCTATTAGGGGATATGTATCCTTTTTTTTTTTGTACTGCTAAAGTAAATGTCATCATCAGTCAAATCAAAATACAAACAAAATGTTCTTTATATATTTATCTGATTTTGTTTTGTGCCGTGTTTATTCCTGGATACCCCTCTCCTGTTTCACTTTTACAATGTTATCAAATCCCTATCTGTGTAAAGTACTCAGTGGACAGCTATAACAGAGGCAAACGTCATGCAAATGCTACTGTTTGCCTTCGCTATAGGGCATACTTTTGTGACCGCAGTTTTGCGTATCCGGCATCGAGAGCACCAGCTATCCTCTCCATTCCTGGGAGGTCACTGGACAGTTTTACTAAGGGGGTGTCTACCGTCTTCCATATAACAAGATGAGATGCTCCTCCAGACTTCCACACTGGCAAATGGAACCGTTTCCAAGAGACAACCAGAAGACAATGAAAACTGGCCAGATGATCTTGAGGTTGGTAGACCGTTTGTGTAGGGCAAGGCTTTGTATCTTTGTTAAGAGTACAGTTACTGGCAGGTGGGTTTGGAAGCTCCTCTTGTAGGGTTTCAACAGCTGATTGGACTTTGCATCACATGCTGATGGGCTCAAATCTTACAAGCACTTCTGCTTTTAACTGAAGACCCAAAAGAGTTCACCCGTCTTGTCTTAAATGAAACCTACCATCATCCAATGTGCTCGGCTGCATTCTCACGATGTGTCAAGAGCTGGTTTACAACAGGTGTTTGTAAAGTTAGAATGTGTCTAATTGTTATGTGCCTGTAGTTGGCAAGTGCAATGATTTAGGGGGTTAAAAAGCAAAAAAGAGCCTTTGGACTTCAAGTTCAAACTGGTGTTGTGTCACTACGAGTCTTCTGTTCTTTTAAAGATTGATAAAATAATGTCTTTGCGCGCACAGGCTTGTTTTTGGCACTCCTGACAGTTTTGTTTGTGCTTTTTGACAATTTTTATAAGCCCGACTTGTCACAAGGTGGAAATTAACCACTTCAGGATCATCACTAGGAAAGGGAGAGTTAGAAACAACAACAAAAAAACCCTTGCATCTGCATCAGAGGAGCGCGGGCCAGAATGTGGGGCCACGACACGTTGCGACTTGTAAGGCAACTTAAGCTTTTGTCTCGTGCACCCCTGACCGTGGGAAGTATTTCATTTCAGAGGTGTTTTAGCTCAAAAGCAAAGAACCTGGAGGCTGATGTTATCTTAGACTACAAAAGTCTGTCAGAGCTCTTTGGAAATACGTCTTATTGCTCTACATCCGAACAACAGGTAAGAACAAACTAGAGGCGACTTCTCTGGTAAGACCGACTGTCAGTTATCATCAATCATACTGTTGATTCTTCTGGCTCGTTTTGCATGTGCTGACATAAGAGCTTGCCATTATAGCTTGCTTGCCATGACTCATTCACATTTTGCTTGGAGCCAAGATTAAAGAGGATCAAGAACAATGCTGTCAGTACCGTCCTTTTTTGTGTGTGTGTGTGTGTTTTCCTTTTTAAATCTAATGAAATATTTGAGGAAGCCTGTTTTTGAATAAAAAAATCTTGTTTACAATAAGATAAAGTCACAATTCTGAGACACAAAGTTGCAATTGTGAGAAATAAAGTCACAATTCTGAGAAATTGTTACCTTTTTATTTACTTTGTTCTGTAGTTCAAATGAGAGATTTGCACATTGTTACATTTAGACAAAAAGACCACTATGCTTCACAAAGTTACTGCTACATGCAAAATGTGCAGTAGGCATATCATGTCATTTTTTTGTGAATTCTCGGCTTTGCTGGTTTAAGATTTATCCATCCAGCTGTTGCTTTTTTTTACAACGTAACATTGTAACACTTGTGCATGATGAGCGTGGAGAAGCTTCGCTTTAGCATTAATCTTCACGAGTCCGTTTAGAGCTTGAGGCTGTGCCATTTTTTGACAGTCAAATCCCTCGGGATATATCTCTAGAACTACAAGTGCACTTGGAAGAAGCTGACAAATTCACACTTCCTGCACCTGGTTTGTGGATCAGCGCTCCTCAACTGGGGGAACAGGAATAATTTTAGCTCCGTCACAATAGGAACTTAATAGCGCAGACTCCTCGCAAGTGTTTATTTATAATGCACCAATGGTGGCAGGTTATTTGACAAGGATCTTTCTTGAGTGCACTCAGTTCCCAGGGAAAGGAGGAGGTCTTGTCCTTGGTATCTAAATCTGATTTGGGAAGACCGTATCAAGTTTGCACTTCACACTGACTGATTCGTAGCGAAAGAGCGACCTGAATTGACTGCCAATGATTATCCAAAGTCTTAGTTTGTGGCACCGTCTCACAACCAAATGCAATTCCTGTATTTTTTACATACAAAACTTTGTTTGCTTCTAGGTCAGGCAAATACATGAACAGAAAACTACGCCCATTTACCCAAACCACCGTCCTGCATGGGTACATGGGCATATCACTACTTCAAAAGAACAGATTGGTCTATTGAGTTCTTTTCTTCAAATAATTCAACCCAGTTTGAGCTAAGCGTTCAACCTTTCTCTTGTGCCTTAACATAAATGCATGGGCTACTTTTGTGTTTTCCGAGTGGATGAAAAACTACAGGAGGAACTGGAATCGGCCCAGTGAGTGTTCGGCATTTTTTTTCCTATGCCACGGACCATTGGCACATTCCGTTTGTATTGTTACCCTGCTGTGTTTCCTGCAGCCTATTGCTTTTGTCCATGTCATACCCATTGTTTAAACTTCCTTTGTTCTTTCTCTGTAACAATGGGCTATATATATATACATACATACAGAGAACTAGAGAGTGAAACAGAAAGGGAGAGATGCATTTTCCCTCGTGTTTGTTTTCTTTGGGTTGTCTTGTGTTTCTTTTGTCATGCACAGCGAAGGAGGAGAGGTGTTTATAGACCTCGGCTAATTTTGAAATCGCCTTCTCTTTCTTTCCTTCACTCCGTCCGTCTCTCTCTCCTCCTCTTGTCCTTCATTGCATAAGGGTTTGCTGTGCTACTTGAGACGGCCAGATACTTGATGGGCACACTAGAGTCTTGCATCTGTTTTCTGACAGTGTGTTGACAGACTTGAGCAACTTGGGATACGCACACGCAACACAAACATGCACAAATATCCTCTCCTGACACTGAGCGGCTCCTGAACCCCGGAGACTCCGAAGAAGTGGCTTTGGTGAAAGAGTTTGAATGGGGCAGCCTGTGTCTGGGCTCTACAAAAACCCTTCTGTTCCTTATGCAAAGCAGTCAGCTGTTTTTTTTCTTTCTGTGGTCTCTGTTCTTTCCAGACAGTAGCCGTACAAAACCGGAATACCCTTGTTAGTAATGCAGTCTGACGTGGTTTCCAAATTCTTCCTGCTGAAATGTTAACTCAGCTTGAAATTTTGTATGCTATGCATACTTCTGTAATGTGACGTATTTCTGGATGAAACTGAATATTTAATGTGAAAACATGTAGGACGGGACTTGATTTTTAGCTGTCAGGAATTGATCGGATGCTTTTAAGCATCTCTATATGACAGGTGGTTGGATGGGAGGGGTTAAAAAATAAGAGGCCTTGATGACATCAGCTGAAAAGTGACATTGTTTCAGAGGCAGAGCAAATTGTTATGTTTTGGTGCAAGATTATGAAGACAAACTTGTATCTTTCTTTTGATTAACATGGACTAATTAATTCTATTTTTAATTTTCTAAATGTCTTGGTTTTGTAGAATGTGTGAGCCCAGTCCACCTGCTCTTCATCCCCACGCCAAGGGCAATGTGACCATGGTGGGTGTTGGTATCAAGCTTGAAGACGACGAATCGGGAGGTAGAGTCATCAACCGAGAATCCCAGCAGTCCTCTCCAGTCAGTGATTGGTCAGTTCGGCAGCTGTCGGACAGAGACGACTTTGAGAAGTCAGCGCCCCCTAATGCACAATCTCCTTTGGTATGACCCGGAATTTTATGAAGTGTTTATGTCTTGTAGGGGATGCACAATATTATCGGAACATTATCGGAATCGGCCGATAAAAGCTTAAAATGTAAAAAATTTTACATTTTTTTTAGCTTTTAAAAGCTTTTAAAAGCTTAAAAGCTTCTGCATTGGCCCGATATGAAAACATTATGCCGATATGCCTTGCCGATAAGACGAATAACTTGCATGTGCTCAGGGTGTGCTAGCGATAAGATCACGTCAGCAGTGCAGTCATTCTTGAAGCAAACTTTTGCCTGAAGAGTGATTAGATTCACTGTTTCGGATCATCGCATTTTTGAGAATGCAATTACAAAATGTTAAGGTTACCACTGCATCTGTCAGAAAAAAAAACAGTGATTGATTTATTTATAGTTATTTTCAAAGCTTTCAGAGCTCTATAAAAAGAAGTGTATTATTGTTTATTTAGTTCTAACAAGTAAGTTTATGCTCAAAACTAACCAAAAATGTAAAATAATTTGTTTATAATCTCTGCACAGGAGAGACTTGGTGTTGTTTCCAAACAAAAGGAAATACATAGGCATCGGCTATCTGCCAAAATGAGTTGAAAAATATCAGCATTTTAGATATCTATATCTTGTTAATGTCTTGTTTTATAAATGAAAGCCATTGGATTTTTCCCCATGTTTTTTTTTTATAAGATAAGATGAGCTCTATAAGATTTCTATAGTGAGTATTTAACTTCATGGTCCCTGTGTTCTTCAGGAGAGTTCTCCCAGTAAAGAATCAATACGATCATACATATCTGCCAGTCAAGATGGAGGCAGCAGAGCTCATGATAAGACTGACAGCAAGCCTAATGTCAGTGAGGGTAAGTGCGACGATTTCTTTACAAAAATAAGGTCTTCATGGAGTGCTAATTAGCATATTCACACTTGGTCCATGGCATTCATTGTGTTCCAATGTTTCAAGGCTGTTGTTTTAGAGTAAAAGAGGTTTTTAAAAGTTTTATGATTTTGATGGAAACCCATGCAAGTGGTTTGCACATGTGTTTCATCAATTAGGATGCCATCGCTATTCATGCAGTCTACATCGAGATGATCCAAGTCCCTCATTTGTTTCAAGTTCTGTGAAGCTTTTCAGTGATTTCATTTGATGCATTTAACAGCCCTTGTGAAATGCTCATTGGTATTTAAAGAGTCCTTGAGTGTTTTCTCAAAAGGATTTTCTTTTGTTTTCACCCATTTCACCAATTCGAAATTGTTTAATTTTCTTTTGGTATAATTGGGGTTTTAAGTTCAAGGATTTTCAGTACAGTGTTTCTCACATCTAGATGAAAAATGCATTTTCTTCTCTATTAACCTCTTTATTTAACTACATTAAGGACCTTCATTATATTAAGTACATTATAAAAGTATTTTGTATATTGTTAAATATATTAAATTAATATATATATATATATATATATATATATATATATATATAAACAAATATAATAAATATATATTTTAAAAAAATGTAATGTATTTTTCTTTTACAGACATCTTTTGTCCAGCGGTTTTAAATAAAAAAATGTAAATAATTGAATAATTAAAAGTTACTTTTGCATTGTTTGTAGAATTTTTTTATTTTTATTTATTTTTAATCTTTTTAGTGATGCCCACTATTGAAAAGCTTCTGAATACGGACTGGAAAGAAAAGTTCTTCGGGCAGGGTCTTCAGGGCAGTGTCAACCTAAAAGGTGAATTTATGTGTTTATACTGCACATAGATGCACTTTGTCATGCAAATCATCAAATGGAGCAACCATATAGTATTGTTTCTGTGTGTGATTGGTGTTCCCATTGTGATTCCATTGTGGTTCATCTCACATTTGTGTTTCACTGACATCTTCCGCCTGACCACCGGCATGTGCGTATGTGTTTACAGGAACCCCAGAGAGTCTGGCAGAGAAGGAGCTTCAGTTGTTGTTGATGATAAACCAGCTCTCTGGTCTGCGAGAGAAAAAGCAGTGTTATTTGAAATCGGGCTACGCATGAATTAGTTTGGTTTCTAAATGCTGATTCTCTGTTTAGATCGCCAAACAGCAGCAGCAGTTGATACAGCAGCAACATAAAATCAACTTACTGCAGCAGCAAATTCAGGTGAGGTTGAATGTCACGATTCAAAACCTTGCAGTTTATTTCACTGTATAAACTACTAGAGACTGGGCAGCATTTTAAGATCTATAAAGAATAGTTCATCTAAAATGACTAAATCAGCTTTGACAGTCTGTTTTATATCTCCTTTTTTGTTTTTAAGAAATCAATTAATTGATACGAGGTCATAACATGACAGTGATAAAATAAAACTTTCATTTTGGGTGAACTGTTCCTTTAAGACTATTTGGACCGTGTGAAATACAATATAAGGTGACTAAAGGTGTTTTCTGTGACCTATGACCCAGCAGGTGAACATGCCTTATGTTATGATCCCTGCCTTTCATCCCAATGCCCAACCATTGCCCGTCACCTCTGAGGCCCAGATGGGATTGCCTCGGCATCCCATTCCCTGCAAACCAGGTGAGCTTCACCAAACCCTCAATAGCTTCCTCAACTCACCTCCCATCGCCAAATGGAGTGAATTGTTCGCACATTCTGATATATGCATGAAAGACCTACCTATTGGCATATTGAGCAACTGTTAGCTTTTACAATAAGAGTCTGTTAGGGCACAGGATTCAGCCATCTGTTATCTTCAGATGGATCAAATAGCATCTGTCAAAAATCCCTAAATAATTGACTTCAAATAATATCCTTTGTCAGTTATTTGAAAAACTTGTTTGCTCTTGCGCTTTTCAGCACAAGCTTATCAGCTGTGGTTTGTATTTTTAGTTAATAAGTAGTCTGGTGCAAAGCTGAATTGAAAGAGTTAATACTTGCTATTCTAGAAATGTATTAACTGCAAAATAACTTTTTCCTTTTCTTAATGCATGTTCGTCTGAAGGTCTGTTCTGTAATATAAGTAGTTATTGCATGATTTGATGGTTTTGCTCATGTCTTTGGTCCACTTAGAACAAACTTTAGAAAAAAGACTAATTGAAACGACCGCCCGAGTGAATCCTTGCACAAACCCTGAAGAATAGCTCAGGGTTGGCCATTGATTTAGAGTGTATATTGATCACGTAAAATACAGAGCGGGTTCTTTGCATTGACGTCTGTAATGTATGGCACTGTGCCCTCACTCAGTTTAAAGACTCTTGTGAATGCACAACTTTGATGCCTGCATGCATGTACTCATTTAGCTTAGAAGATGAAGGCTAGAAGGAAAGAACAGGGAACAATAGAACAAGTGTATGAGCTAGTCGGCTAACAGCGTGCTTGACACAATTGAGCCGCCTTTGTAAAGAAACCTGCAGCAGAGGACCAAGGACGCAAATTAATCTGAGCTCAAAGACTTTATTCAGCTTAATAAGATATGTTCTCTGGCGATAAACACTTTTAGAAGTTTTTACCTTAAAGTTAGACATGACTGACCTGAACCTAGCCTGATAGTTGACCAGGTCCCATTGGGCTTGGGTTTGGTAGCAGATCTCTAGCATGTTCACTGACCATTTACGCATATTTGTAAATTAGGGTGACGTTAGCTAGAGTAGTGTCCAAAAGTTATGTCCAGCCTAGGAAAATGGACATCTTCACCATTATTCAAACATTTTATTATTAGGGATTTTGTAAGCATATTGCAAAGTTGTGCTTGGATCAAAAACAAGGGAGAACCAACAAAATATTAATAACTGATTATATTCTTGTATTCTATGTATGCTTTATTTCCTGTGAGTTTTTGGTTTTTCTATGTATTTTTTAATCTTGTAGGGTCATTAAAAGCAAATATTGAGAAATATCCAGTCTATGGACATCATTTTTGGCCACTACTGTATATAAGAAATTCATGTAGTCTTACGAAAAGCGTTGCCTTCATTGCTGATAGTCGCAATTTTTCTGCTGTGCACGATACATTCATTAACAGGCATAAAACAAACTCCACGGCCAGATATAAGACTCCAGTATTGAATGTCTTGCTCCCCATCAACATTTTAATTATATAATTGTTTCTTTTCCAATTCGCTTTTGAAATATAAACATTTAAATGGTGGCTGTCATAACTTATTTTTTAAGACAGATTTATTCAAAAATACTGTACAATATGAGACATCACTAACAAGTTAAATAAAATAAAAATATATAAGGAATAGTGCATTTATTAAAATGTTCCTCTCTAGAGTTATTTTCTCCTGCTAATTAACAAGTTATGGTCACTGAATGTCTTTCATGAGGTAAATGTAACGTTACGTGACATTAAAGGGATAGTTCACGCAAAAATGAAAATTCTGTCATTAATTACTCACCCTCATGTCGTTCCAAACCCGTAAGACCTCCGTTCATCTTCGGAACACAAATTAAGATATTTTTGATGGAATCTGACAGCTCTCTGACCCTCCCATAGACAGCAAGGGTACTACCATGATCAATGTCCAGAAACTTAGCAAGGAGATCTGTAAAATAATCCATGTGACATCAGGGGTTCAACCGTAATATTACGAAGCTACGAGAATACTTTTTGTGGGCAAAAGAAAAAAAAAAAACGACTTTATTCAACAATTCGTCTCCTCCGCGTCACCCTGTAGCGCCATTTTGGAGAGTATCCACTGAACGCAAACAGCGTATGTTGTTCTGTGTCAGCCGCACCACACGGGTGTGTTTTCTACGTTGTTTGTGCTTTGATTTGAACGAAAACAACGTATCCGTGTGGTGCGACAGAATTTTCATTTTTGGATGAACTAACCCTTTAAGCTGTTATATTGACATCTTTTTGCGGTTGAAACAATGATTAAGCGATTACATGAGACACGATACATTTCAGTAAGTTGCACTGTTTCTTTAAACATACTTTCTGATGTTGTTAATGTTTGTTTTTAGTGGAATATCCCTTGCCGTTGCAGCCCAATCCACACTCCACTCCAGTCAAAAGGTCCAGTGGTACAGTCTTTCGCCAGGTACCATTTCTTGCAGGTCACCTGCTCTGCAGGTCATCTCAGATGTTTCACTTTGTTGTATTCATTTGTTGATTTGTTAGTGAATCTCGCAATGACTTTGTGCTCCAGGATTCCAGTCAACCTCTCAACCTCACGGCTAAACCCAAGACCCCAAGTCCTCAGGCACTGGAAATGGCCCACTTGCAAGCAGGGTACCGAGCCAGAGATCTACCCCATAGTCCTACTCGATCTGCCCTCAGCCTGAGTAGGTGACACTACACCTCACTACCAAATCTAGTCTCCAACATGCTTTGCTTGGAAGGTTGAAGCCATGCTATGTGCCTTAAGCCGATTTGACATGTCGAAAGATTGTTTTGTTACAACTGATCTTGCAACTGCCTCTCAACAGCAGAACTGTTCAGTAGATTTAGACTGTGACTGTAAATTTCTTTATTACAGTTCCACAACAAGTTCCACAACTTGGTTGTGCAGCCAGGTGTGTCAGAATATCTTTACTTGTTTATGAGTCAGACATATCCACTGTGGTTTTCCTGCTGTGCACTCGTGACATTGTTTGAGAGGGAAGTCATTGAGGTTCACATTCAAAGACCTCTCTGCACCCTATTAGAAAGGGCCCATCGTAGGGGTTTCCACTGCCAACATACTTCTATCCCAAGTATTAATGGCAGTTGTCGGCAGTTCAGAAAAACCTGTTCCCCCTTTGAACCAGCCCCTGAGAATGTGTCAGCACCTCAGACGTGACTGTTTGTCTTAAGCCTTTGGACTCAAGACTAGGGGCTCATCCGGGATGGGATCATATTCTTGAGATCGAGCCAAGTGCTTTATTTGTGCATCACAAGACGGAGAGCGATAAATGTATCTCTCTTTTGACCTTGTCTAAAGTTTCCTTTCTCTCTCGCCCTTTCGCTCTTCAGGCTTCTTGGGAGAGGGTGATGTTGTGACACAAGCCATTCATGATGCCCAGCAGCTGTTGCGTGGAGGACAAGGCCCGATGGGCCGTGAGAGGGACAACAACACAAGGCTGGTGAGTCGACATCTTGGTGCACACAAACACGCTTTCACATACTCCACACCTCAGTTCTCCAAGGTTCCTTGGCAATGTTCCCTCTAAGTTGCGCGGCCGCGCAGACTAATTGAAGGTCCCGCGCAGCGCAATTTTAGACTGCGCACACAGCGCGCAGGCACTCAGTAAGCAGCAATGGCAAAACGAACAAAGAAGAAACTTTACCTCAGCAACATCTTAAGAAAAATGTTTGTCTGACTTTCAAACAAGAATGGTTAAATTAAATAGTTCAAACGGATACAACTGATGGTCCTGGTAAATCAGTTAAATTGTCTGAAATATTCAGCTACGGAGCTAATGACGTTGTGTGCAAAATGTGCTCCGAAGCTAAAATCCAAGGAGAGTTTTCCACCGGGAAAACATGGACAGAGTGGAAACTTGACTAACTAAAACGCCACTTAACACAAAAATGTCACACTGATGCTGTGAAAGTATCGAATAGCTTATAATCGAAAGCATGGAACTTCAATTAACCAGCTTCTCGAGGAGAAAAACATATTGACCTTGCCAACAGGAACAAGTCAAACCCTGAACAAATCAAAATATTGATCGATAACGTGCTTCTTGCAATCAAAATGAACGCGTCAATGCTGTCTGTTCAAGAAATTCATAATCGTCTGGCAAAATATGTTAGCCTTCCCGACAGCTGGAGAAGTAAAAACTATGCATTTGAATTTGTGGAGTCAATTAATGCAGTTGTACAAGCTAAAACTTTGGAAAGTGTGAGAAATGCCCAAGTCCACACGCTGATAGTCGACGAAAGCACAGACATTACAGTGCATAAAATGCTGGTTCTTTACATTTTAGGGAACAAAATCAAGTCACTTACAAAACTGTGTTTGCCGGGATCATTCAGCTGGCAGGATGCAGCGCCCAGTTCTACATGGATCACCGACTTGATTTGCAGAAAATGGTCATGTTAACGTCTGACGGCGCATCTGTCATGTTAGGTAAACATAATGGAGTCAATGCAATACTGAGACGGCAAATACTGTACCTTACAGAACAGCATTGTGTTGCTCATAGGGAAGGTTTGGGAATTGATGATGCTTGGAAAGGTGTGTCGTTGATGAAGGAAGTGGAAACACTTCTCAGGATAGTATATTCACTATTTAGCAGGTCTTCTGTGAAGAAAAGCAAATTTGATGAGTTGGCAACTGTTTTAGAAGTGGATTCACTGTCTTTCAGACCTCTGAATGAGGTTCGCTGGCTGTTTCGTTACCAAGCTGTAAATTCGTTTTTGCGGAATTACAGTCTGTTAACAGAATACTGCACAAAAGAAGCTGACAATGACGACCCGGTTGCGAAATACTGTCTCAAAAAACTGACCGATCCGAAGTACAGAGTTGCAATTACTGTGCTTGGAGAGGTGTTGGAAGAACTCGCTCAGCTCTGTAACTCCTTGCAGCGAAGCAATCTTACCATCATTGATACTCATTGCTTTGCCAGAGCTAAAATAGAAAAATGTCGTTCTCAGTATCTTGGACAGCATGTTTATTGGAGCAGCCGAGTGAACGAGCTGTTGGAAACATGTGACAGTGCCATAAATACAGCGGACATTATCCTGTTTGTCCATAAAGTCTGTGAGCATCTTGATGCTCGATTTCCTGAAGGTGAGCTCAAAGAATGGTCTGCTTTTAGCTTAGAGACACTGGATTCAACACTTGATTTTGATCATGGTATAGATTATGTAACCAGACTGACAGAGAAGTTCCACGCTTTTCTGAAACAAACAGACGAGGCTGCCCCCAAGCGCATCTGTAATCAGTACAAGGATTTCAAGTTCACTGTCAAAGAAAAACGAAAAATGGCAGCGCTGCAGACATTTGCTGAAATGGTAACCTGGACATTAAAAAGTGAGGAGTTTACTCAGCTTGTACAGCTGATTGACATTTGCGGGACATTCTAAGCGTCTAGTGCAGACTGTGAACGCGGTTTCAGTCTGATGAATTGCATCGAGACAAATTCACGTAACCGAGTTCAGACCACCCACTTGGATCAGCTGATGAGAATCTGGTCTGCACAAGCAGAGGGCCCTATAAATTTGGACAAGGTCTACAACCACTGGAAAGGGAACAAGGACAGACGGGAGAGGTTTTAAGGTAGGCTACAATATTAATAAATACATAAATAGTAACAGTTTATTCAGTTACTATGTGCAATGTGTTTGACTTGGACAATATTTTTACTCTACTCGAATAAAATTTTAATAATCCTTAAATATTATAATGTATAAAATATGAATTAGTTGACTAAAGCTTTACACTTTTTTAAAGGGTAGATTACTATTTTGGTGTATTAGTACACACCAGCAGAAATAAGCACAAACAGGGGAGTGCATACCTAAACAATGTCTATAATTGCTGAAATAAAACAGGCAGATTTTTTTTTTTTTAATTGTGGTGCTTCTGTTTTTTAGATGCTGTTTTGAGAGAGGCCTTCCAGAGACCCGCAGGGCCAGTCAAGAAAGGACTGATGATGAAGCACTATGGTGTTGTTGTGTATATGGTTTTATTAAAATGTGGTTTAATAAAATGTGTTTTGTTAAAAATATTGTACTGTCATAGTTACTGTTAAACAGTTGATAGAAGGGACTAAGTCATCAATCAAACTATAGCATAGTTAACATGCCCTTTTTGAGTAGACTATATCGTCACCAATGATTTTTGCTGAAGTTGCTCAGTTTTAAAGTTTGTGCTCAGAGAAATACTTGCTCAGTGCCGAAAAAAATTAGAGGGAACATTGTTCCTCGGCGACACCTGGGACCCGCTGTTTGTCACCATTGCTGATGCTTCAAGGCCGAAGCATCAGGGCAACTATCCATTAATGGCCCACACTTGAAGCGCCCCTCTTTCAGAACACCCACTGTGTTACAAGAGAAGAGGGGCGGTCAGGGTCAGCGATGGATATTGGTTTACAGAGGTTCATGATATCGGTTAAACAAGGGGTACATTCCCCTTTCAGCCAAGAACAGCTGCTTTTAGAGTCCCACCGCAACTTGTGTGTTCACTTGTTTGAGTACGTGGCAATTGCGGAACACTCGAGTCTCCGTAGACACCTGTTGCGACAACCACTTTGTTGCTCCTTTTGAGTTCAGTTTAACCGCAGGGAGATATGACAGTGATTTCGCCTTTGTTGTCAATAGGGTTTTGAAGCATTCCACTTAAACCTGTTTTAACAGCTTGACATTTGTAGAACTGGTAGACAGGCGACAATGCCGATGCATTTGAAAGGGAGAGGAATATAGATCATTAATGTTTGAATTTCAAAATTATATTTGACAACCACAAATGTCTCTAGGGCTCTTTGTTTCTAAGCATAGGTGTGGCTGAGATGCTTTTGTAATGTTGACCAGCTTCTGTAGCATCAGTGCTAACGTAATAAACCAATTGCTGTGCCAGCTGGATGCAGTGATCACTGATGAATGTTTTTATATATGTCTTACATAAGCTGGATTTGCATCTGTCTGTCTGTTGATTGATTATAAGGAGGCGTCTCGAGAGCGGATGGATGATGGAAAGTCCCTGCGGATGAATGAGGACCACCTCAGCAGTGACACTGAGGGTATGTATGGGTCACAATGGTCAACTATAATTTTTTGCGGGTTTTTTTTTTTTTGGCATTACATTAATTAGCATGCTGTGCTTTAGCTGTTAGTCAGTTCACATGGGAAAGTCTTTAAATTAGTTTTTACATTGTTTCTTGAGTGATGATGTGTCAACTTAAAGATCGCTTGCATTGTGTTCTATTCTGTTGCAAACCACTTTGATCTCATGCAAACGCCCCCTAAGAAACCTGTCTGATCACCTCATCCCAATCTAATTATATATGGCTACCAGTTAAGACAGATTAGTTGACTAGTCGTTCAGGCCACCCTCGAATAGTTCATTATGAGATCTGTAGTTTTGCATGTCACTAGTATGTGTGCAAATTTTTCAATCAAGAAATTTCAGTTGATCACTTGAATTTTAGCTTTGCGTGCTTTTCTGATCAAATAAAGAATTGCCTTAGGACTGCCTTAGGACTTAGGATTTAGGACTGTTCCTAATACAATAAAAAACCCTATTTGGCATGCAGCAAACACAAATGCCACCTGCCTGTGTAATTGCATTTGGCTGCAGGGTGTGTAGTCAAACAAAAGGAAGTTATGTGTGTCTAGGTTGATTGTTTTGTTTTTAATCTTGTTGTTCCCAACAGGGCAGATGGCAGTCTCTGGTGTGGGAAGCTTTGGTGAATCCCGGACTCCCTCCTCTGGCCACATCAAACGTCCCATGAACGCCTTCATGGTGTGGGCCAAAGACGAAAGACGGCGTATCCTGCAGGCGTTCCCTGACATGCACAACTCCAGTATCAGCAAGATCCTCGGTAAGAGAGATTGGAGCTGCTGCTTTAAAAAACATTCGTTTTGGCAAGACATTTTCATTTTACTTCTAGTGAAAGTTTATTGATAGTTCGTAAACTTAAGATAGTTGGTAACACTTTAGATTAGGTAACACTATCCACTATTAACTGGCTTATTATTAATTAGCATGCATATTATTAGCATATTGGCTGTTTATTAGTGCTTATAAAGCACATATTAATGCATGACCATATTCTACATCCCATAAACATAACTACTACAACTACCTTACTTACTATCAATAAGCAGCAAATTAGGAGTTTATTGAGAGGGAAACCTCTTAGTTAATAGTAAATATGTGTTCCCTAATCTAAAGTGTTACCAGTTTAGAACTAGTAATAATAATATTTTTAAATTATTAATTTTTCATGAAAATAAATGATTGATACAAGTTTGACAAGTGACTCTAATTTGCAAATTGTAATTGTTGTACTTAGTCTTTCACTCTGCCCAACGGTTATTAGGTTTATAAGCACATTATGGTAGCTTTGTCCATCAGTGTTTTTTTTTTTTTTTAAATGTTGCTGTCAAAAAATTTTCAGTCTTTCCATCAACAAAATGAATGCTCTAGTGACTATAATGTCTCTAATCCTTCCTCTTTGTGAATTCCGAAGCACCTGTTCTGACAACATTGTCCTCATTGTTGTATTATTATTTCATCTCTTCTACCCCTTTATCTTTTTCTTGAGATCAGTTTCTTGAGATTTCTTGTGACCTACAGTCACAAGTGTTGGTGTTACTCTGTAAAACATGTCTATATTTTCAAACATGTAACTTACTGTTGCCCCCTGGAATGGAGAGGAGGACAGACGGTCTTAAAGGGGATGAAAAAGGGGACACACCAGGGCACAAACAGCCACCTGGCTCTAGGGGTGACAGGAAAACAACACCCAAAACTTCAGCCCCCTCATCCCTTGCGGCACCTCTGCCTTCCTCAGTTCTTTCCTTTCACAAAACACTCGCATTCCATTCCATTGTGGTGACACTTGACACCCTCCTGATTCAAGATTTTTTCTCCCCCGGAACATGGCCCGCAGCTCCTTCTAGTACACACCTACATTTCTGTCAGTTTGCTACATTTTTAGCCCGCGGCACACTTTAAGAGAAGGCGGCGTTGCACACATACAGTCAGTAAATCAAATTCTTACGATGTCAAATATTTGCAACATGTAGAGAATTAGGTCAATGAATTCTACAGTTCACTGATTGTTTTTTTTTTTGTACTACTTTGTACTTTTACTCTGATTTCTCTCTCACTTCCCGGTTGTTGTAGAATTTAAATTCTCACCAACTCTAAAAAAAAAAAAAAACCCATTGAAAAACCTGCTCCTAACACACTGTGGCCAAAAGTATGTGGAAACTTCCACATAAGCTGGTTCAGTAGCTTTATTCATTACTGACAGGTGCATAAAATCAAATGTACAGCCGTGCAACCTCATTTTTTACTGAAATTGAGTGTATCTTTATTTGCCAGTATTATCTAGTTAAAAACATTCCCATGTGAGTGGATTCTGTTAGGACAAGCTCCCATGATTTTGACATTAAATGTTCAAGCACATGTGTTTATTGTTTAAAGGGATAGTTCACCCAAAAATGAAAATTTGATGGTTATCTGCTTACCCCCAGGGCATCCAAGATGTAGGTGACTTTGTTTCTTCAGTAGAACACAAACGAAGATTTTTAACTCAAACCGTTGCAGTCTGTCAGTCTTATAATGGAAGTGAATGGGAATCACGGCTTTGAGAGTAAAAAAAAACATACACAAACAAAACCAAATTAAACCCTGGGGCTCATGATGATACATTGATGTGTAAAGACACGAAACGATTGGTCTGTGCAAGAAACTGAACAGTATTTATATAGTTTTTTACCTCTGATGCATTGCAATGTCTGAACTGTCCTGAGAGCGTTCTCAACAGCTGGCGCGTGATGCGTCTTCTTCTTCTTGCTTTACGGCGGATCGCAGACTTATAAGTCCATTACCGCCACCTATCTCTCAAATGGACCATTGACACTCCTAATTGAGATTGTAGCTAGAGTGTCAATGGTGCCGTGATTCCCATTCACTTCCATTATATGACTGACAGACTGCAAC